CCAAAATAGAAGTTTGTTGATAATTTCAATATATGTAATATATTTAGATAGATAGATAGATAGATAGATAGATAGATAGATAGATAGATAGATCGATAGATAGATAGATAGATAGATAGATAAAAAATCTGGCACCCTAAGGACCTGTACCAATTGAACTACAAATATGACTGCAAACTAATGTAAATTCACAAATTAACCCTTGATTTTATATAAAAGAAGCTGGATTAACTTAACTTAACCAGCAAAACTGACATGAGTATATCGATAGTGGCATATTAATTACCAATATTTTAAAATATTTACCTTAAATTCATTTAGTTCATCTACATAACACATGTGAGGCCTTTGGAAGTCACTGAGGTACCTATTGCTTTTCAAGTTGTGTACTTAACTTGGGATCAAGTTGAAAGTGTCCCCTAAACATGCAGCTGGGAGGATGATCAGAAAAGTTTTCCATGTTACCTTACCCTGTTTAGTCAGCTTTTTACAGAATTGGATATGCATGCACTCCAAGAGCAGCACACCAGTATCAGTGATCCTGCCAATCTAGTCTGTCATATGATCTCTGAAAACGGATCACTAGCACCAGCTTCATTTGCTATTGTTTTCATTCTTCTGTTTTCAACTGGGTAGGCTTTCTAGTGTCCCAACAGCAAACGCTCCAAACTCTGGACTAGCAAGTTTTAGTGTGTAAATCACAAGAATCAGAAAAACGTTGAAGCAGCACTTCGAGCATGATATCAACTATGTAGATTTGCAAGGGGAGGGGGGGCTGGGAACACAACACAGAGAGACAGTTTTAGGTCCATGAAATAAGTCTTAAATGCAGTATAGAACTGAGACATACACTGCACACTCCAACAGTATTGCAGTTTTGGCAGACATCTTTACAAGACCTTTCTGCTTAGAAAAAAAACTTAAAGAGATCAGCATGCAGAAAGAAATGCTGTAAGTTAGCTATTTAACTTCAATATAGTACATATCTTAAAATTCTTTCAAGTCAAATACTTAGGATTTCTAATTTAATTGAGGTCAACCCATGGTATAGATGATTACCATTCATACTGGCAGTAAAAATGATCATAAACAAAGCATGAAACAATATAAAATAAATCACAGCTTTTCAAGAATGTATGTATTTACTGACCAGATTATAGTATTCTGACTCATTTCTTTGAGCATTTCTCCCCAGGCAACAATTACATCTGACCTTTGAAACTTACTTGCTTTAACCTTGGGACTAAAAGATCTAAGAGCCACATAAGCTTCTTCTGATGTGCACAGAACTTCAGCTCATGTCAGTTACAATTGCATGCAAAAACCAAATTTCTAAAATGCAGTTCACAACATCTTTTCCTTTTTGGTTTTTCCCTTTCACTTACCTGGTTTCATCAATATAAACGGCTTCCAGAACAGATGCTGCATATTCAATATTCTTTTTTAAATCCACCACATTAATGTCACCCTTCTCCAGCTGCTTTACCAAGCATCTTAATCTGTGGGGGAAAAGAAGAAAATCACTGTGATACTTTTATCAAACTTGATTGACTTCATTTTCTATTTGAAATATTGGAACCAGCACAACAGCCAATGCAGAGGCAAGAGACCATCACTCCATCTCTTGTCTTAAGGCTAGTTTAGTTTTTCTAGTTTTAGAATGGACACAACAATGACTGGTTGTATGTTTTTATAACTTGCTAAATTTGTAAGATCTATTAAGAAAAGGCATATACATTCCAGAAAGTCAGAGGGGACTCATTAACCACCATCAGAGCACTTTCCTATTCATTTCTGACATTACTACTATGCCTGAGTCTCTAATTTTGTTTTAAATAAAAAATAAAAGTTTGCATATTGTCTTACTATAATTTTTCTGTGCTTAGGTGGTTAATTATATTTTTTTCATATTCACTGTATACTTATTTTGCTTCATTTAGATATCTTTAACTTTTTTTAGGCATCCAGTATGTTTTTGCTGCAGAATTTGTATTCCTATTAGTGTGAGATAATGTGGAAGTCTGTTGTTTCTGTGTTTACAAAATACTCATCATTAGGCAGTGCCTATGTCACCTGAAAAATTCAGATTTTCCCGAGGGTGCTGTTACTTTTAGTTTTGAGAACTTTGTTTTACAGTACAAACATGGATACGCCCAAAAGGGATTTTGTAATGTATCAACTCATGACTCCGTAGCAATAGATAAACAGATAAACAGATAAACAGATAAAATAGATAAACAGATAAACTCCTTGAATATCAGATCTTTCCTAAATTCTCTGTTGACAAGAAGACACTTTTGACACTTCTCAATTTAACCATACAGTGGTCAAAGCACTGGAGTGAAATGAAAACCTTATCAGTAACTGTACAGAGCTGTGACTTAATGGGTATTTTCCTTCTTTCAGTTCTGCATCTCTCAGTAGAAACAATCTACAGTTTTGTATCATGTACGATAAAGATTTCTGTAATTAAGAATTCATCGTTAATTTTAACATAACTTTCATTAAATAACCTTTTTTATGTGCATTAAAAAAAATTGTGAAACAAGCATTTAGTTAAAAAGTTTATTGAAATTGAGTCAGCATTAAGCTAACTACTTTCAGAAAAGATCACAGTCATGATTTATGAATGAGCATATAGAAAATTTGTGATATGCTACCTGTTTATATATATGTATATATAAACACCATATATTATTTTTATTGAGTCCAATATTTGATTGGACTTAATTAAAATGTATAATTTACAAAAATGCAGTGATATTCAAAACAAATATAAATTTGGAAAGTACTGTTCTGTCATAAAACCACTTTCATGTTTTTCTTCATATTTCGTTGGCTAAGTACAATTATGTTCAAGCCTGTAAGGATAATTTTAGCAAATGGAGTTTCAAGATGAGCCTCTTCAGTTCTCTAAAGCCTTAATTCAAATTAGCATAGAAAATGAAACAAACAAGGCTCTTAGCAACCTTATTTTACAGTATTTTACACAGTGCACAGAATGGAAAATGTAGTGTTAAAACATTTTATCAGAGAAAGGAAGTGGGTGCACGAAATACTCTGGGAACGCATCTCCTACACACAAATAACCACATGCATGGGAGACAGTTCCAGCACATAACTTCTTCCACTTCAGAAGTACCTATAGACTGAAGAAGCTTATTCATAAACACTCACCTCTCAGTACCCAACACACACACTGTTACTGTTCTGGGATGTCTGCTCCTCAGTCATGCACACAAAGACACATGCAGCCCCTCCTGAGCACCAGTGCCAAAATGCTCGCGTGAGTCTGGCAGCATCATTGCCACTACTTGCAAATAGCCATAGGGTGTTTCTGCCACTTGCACTGTTCCCTCCATGTTTGACTGAGCACGTCTCTGAATCAAACTTTCCAAAGCATATTTGAAAATGTGTTATCAAATATACAAAAATATAAAAAAAAAAAAATTGTAACACTTCACAGCAGGAGGCCAGGCTCTGGCACAACAATATTGGTTCAAAACAGCTTCAAATTCTATGATTTCCAGTCATTCCACACTTTCTCAGAGCAGTGACCAGATGGCAAGTATTTGATATTACTTTTGTGCTTGCAGGAGGAAAGCAGTCCCTGGGGGAGCCTTTCAGCTGCTCTGACGTTGCAGTAGCTCACTGCATAGGTGACAGCTAACAGATGTAATGTGCCCTGTAGGTATAGCTCAAATTCTAGGAGAAGTGCAGAGCACAGTCACAGACTGAGTGATCTGGAAAAGCTGCTCAAGCAAAGTTAAAGTGATTCTGAAGATACACTTTGGACAACCAGTTTCAGTGGTGAACCAGCCACATCAGATATTTTCCTGATATCTGACTGGAATGTCCTTTACGGCAACTTGTGCCACCAAACTTTTCTGTGTACTTCCAAGAAAAAACTGTCTCTATCTACAGTACAATTTCCCACTGAGAAGCTGGACACAGCAATAAAATCCCTCCAGAGTGTTGCTGATCAGACACTTGTCAATTGATAATAATGAGGTCTACTTCAGAAGTTACAAAAATGGACTTCCAACACAGCAAAATTAAGCAGATTATAACAGTATATGAATGGTCTGAATATACCCAAGATCTTACACATTAAAGTGAAATAGCCACAGAGTTTAGGAGCTGAAATTTCAGTAATGAAACAAATACTTTAGCAAAGAATAAATGTGTCAATTTATAAGACAAAGCAACAAGTGTTAAAATACTCATACCCCAGTATTCCACAGGACAGAGAAACTTGTAAAAAGGACAAGGAAAAGTAACAAAAAAGAATTATTGCTCCAGTTGTATTGGGCAGGACTTTGTTCATCTGTTTGTTTTCTTTAAGTGTGATAAATTGAAAATAAACATTAGAGGTACTATTAGAAATGCTACTTAAAATTGGAACTAATTGTATTACCCTGCCTGTGAACTGTGCTACTAAGAAATAATAGACAAAAAGAAAAAATAACTAAGAAATAATAGCAACAAGAAAAAACTGGAGGGGGTATTTTATGAAAGAGAAAAATGGACTATTTGAACTGCTTCAAGGTACAAAGAAAATTGTATGCAGAATTAATGTGATATAACATTGAAAAAAGAAATTTGCATAGTAAAAAGGAACATTATTTCTCTCGGGATACCTGAAAATTGCATCTTACAACTAGCAGCCCCAATTTTCAAGGGAGAAAGAGACATCTGCAATTAATAAAAGCAGTGGGTGGAGAACCATTTTCTGTCATCTTGGGTAACCACCACTTACAGTGCTGTGGTGTCCATGCTTTTACAGGCTCCTGCCTCTCTTTAACAGTGCCATCTGTGAGGTTACCAGGACCTGTGTTTCCCTGGCCCTCACCTCTGTGCAGCTGATGCCAATGTCCAACTGTGGGCAATAGGTTTTGAGGCCCACCCAGCAACACAGGAAAATCAGAGGTAACAAGGTTTTTGCTGGGAGATGAAGTAGTATGTTCTTGATTAACAATATCAAAATCACAACTCAGTTGTTCCCAATTTCCTCATTGCAATTCTCCCAAGCTTGAATTAAAGTTTTTCTAAATCTAATGTAACTTTCTGGGATTGTACTAAATTTACCGAGGATAGATTTGGTGATTTTATGTTATTTGAGAAAACTTCCTATGACAGTTTCTGTAACTATCAAAAAAAAAACCCCACATAGTTAAGGAATCAGACATCAAAAATCACTTTTTTCAATGTCTTCATGAAAAACTGGTTTTTTCTATGGAATCAAGCAAAGTTCAATGAGACAAATGTTTGGAAATACTAAATAATTGTCTTAAACACAGGCTAAAATGACAACAAAGAAAGGTGCAGGGTAGAGAATTACTTAAGAAGAGAGATCTTAAAGTAGAGAGGCAGACTAGTTGGACAATTTCAATTTCAGATTAAATTTAAAGGTTGCTGCCTCTGTTTCCAAGGGAAAATAAATTACCAGTGATCACTGCTATAAATGAGAGTCAAAGGTTCAGCTTATGAGCCTTCAAGAACAAGCAGAGGAAAATTCAGCCTGAAGTTCTGAACCTGAGAAAAAGACCATTTATCTGTTTTCCCAAAACTGTCTTTATTTGCCACGTCAGTCTCCCCACCACCAAGCACTGCAAAGATACAGCTTTCTAACTTGCACATCTGGACTTCACTTAAGACTGTTTTGGAAACTTTGTACAAAAACAAAGCTGGCTTTTGTCACAGATCCTATTAAAGGGGAAGTGAAATAAACTGTAAAAAGTAAATTGTAAACTAACCCTGCTTCCTACTATATTTTGAAATTAGTGAAAGTCACTGTTGAAGATGGGCAATGAACACACAGGTAACTCTTTGAAAGTAATAAACACATGCTAATGCTAATTAGAGAGAAATAGTTATTAACATTACTATTCAGCAATCACGATGCCAGTTAAAAAAATTATCTGTGTTGGTTAAATCAACTCCAAGTTGTAAATCATTAATCATTATGTTCCCATGAACTAGTTGAGAAAAGCCTAGTTGTGACAATCACGACAATGTGTGAAAACGTTTAAGAGCAGGAAAAAAAAAATTACTTTCTTTAAACAAGTGTTTCATGTTCTGTTTGGACTATTTAATATTGAATAATAAAATAAAGTGGATAATTGTAAATGTTATTATAAAAGTTATTTGGCCCTCTAAATGAACATTACAAGGTAAAAATGGGATGATATGTAATGTGAAATTAAAATTAAAGAGGAGAGTAACCATATTCTGAAATAGGATTAATTAATTTAAACACCACTAGTTTTTCAAAACTTTGGGGAAGAGGAGAATTTTTCTCTAAAAGTATTTAGAATTAAAACCAGAAACCAGTTTTGCTACCAGTAGTGATTCTTTTAATAATCAGTTGAATAATTTTCACCTGTAGAAAGCATTGCTCACCCAGCAGTTCCTCAGCTTTCAAAGGCAGACGTTACGTCCTCATTTAAACACAAACACTCAAAAAAAAGGACAATTTCACCAATTGTTTTGCATACCT